TTAAAATTCGAATTACAACAAAAAGATTCCGTTATTAAACAATTAAATTCAAAATTGGCTGATTCAAATGATGCTAATCTTAAAGTTTCAAAAGCTCACCTTGAACTTGAAGAAAAAGATCAATTAATTAAGAAATTAAATACTGAATTACAAGCTCGTGATGATATCGTTCAAAAAATTACTTCCGAACTTAATGCTAACAAACAAGAAATTGAAAAGATAAAGAAAGAGGCTCAAGAAAAATCTTTACAATCTCTACAATCTCAAAAATCTACTAATTCCGAATTCGAAAATACCAAAGTCGCTCTTGAAGTAAATAAACATGAAATCGCTAATTTAAAGGCTGAACTTGAACAACGTAACACTACCATTCAACAATTAAACTCCGATTTAAGCACTCGTGCAAAAACTTTACAATCTACTGTTTCGGATCTAGAAAAAGCTCAAGCTGAACTTAAAATCAGTAATGAAAATCTTTCAATTTTAAAATCGGATCTTGAAGCTATTAAAAATGGTTCTAACAAAAAAGTCGATCTTTTGGATTTCGAAAAATGTCAAAATGATCTTAATGCTTGTCAAAATGAAATTACAAAATTAAATGCTGAAATCGAAGAAGCTCAACATTCTTTATCCTTAAGAAATGAAGATCTTAGTAATTTATCTAGTGAACTCGATAAATCTCGTATTTCCTTAAAGACAAGCAATGAAGAAACCATTAAATTGAAATCTCAATTTGAAAAAACTCAAAGTGCTCTTACTTCAAGTGCTGAAGAAATTTCTCATTTAAAATCCGATATTCAAGAAAGAGATCAAATCATTCAAGAATTACGTGACAATTTGACTTCTCGTAAACAAGAATCGGATTCAAAAGTTATCGCTGAAAGAGATTCATTGAAAAAAGAATTACAAAAAGTAAAAGCTAATTTCCAAAGTCAAACAAATGAACTTCAACAAGTTAATGCTGCTCTTCAAAGTGCTAAATCTGAAAACAAATTAGTTATTGAACAACGTAATCAAGTTAAAGCTGAACTTGAATCTGTTCAAACTGATGTTAATAAAATCAAACGTGATCTTGAACAAAATAGTTCGGATTTACAAGAAGTAAAAAATCAACTTAATGAACGTGATCAAAAAATCAATCAACAATCAACTTTAATTCAATCTATGGTACCAAAAGATAAATTTGATTTTATAAATAAATCATATAATGAAATTAAATCCGAACTTGAAGCTACAAAAGCTGAGCTTGAATCAAAACGCAGCTTATTCGCTGATATTTCATCTGTTGAAGACCTTCGCGCTCAACTTTCAAGCGCAAAAGCAGAAGCGAAAGCTAATGATTGGGAAAAGAAACGTTATGAATCCACGATTTCGGAGCTAACAAGTAAAATTGAACGTTTAAATGCAAAAGGTATGTATGTGTATGTTATTGTTTTTTTTCCTTGATCATTTCATAATTCACTTAAATTTCCTTTTATTTTCATTCATAGAACAAGAAGATGCTAAAAGTCGACAACAACTTGAGCAAAAAGGTTATTAATTGCGTTAATTGCGTTAATTGCGTTAATTGCGTTAATTGCGTTAATTGCGTTAATTGCGTTAATTGCGTTAATTGTGTTAATTGTTTTAAATGTGTTACTAACTATATATATAAACTATATTTATAAACTATATATACATATTTTATAGCACGCAGTGTTGAGAAATTAATAAAAGAAAATAATCGACTAAAAGCTGAAATCCTCACGCTATCAGAATCCGAGCGAAGAGCGCGTGAACTTTCAGAATCATTGTCCAAAAAACAACATACATCACCGACCATTAACGTAATACCTACTGAAACAAAATCAACAAATGATTCTAATGGATTAATATCTGAACGGAGTATTGAACCATCTCCATCAAAACTTGCAACAATTCTTGAAACTCCTCCTTCAAAACGTAACAGTGCAATTGAACCATCGGATATTAACGGTGTTCCAACCATGCCGCAAGCAAACACTATAGAACAGAAGAATTTGGTTCCAGAAATTACTGAACCAAATAAAAATGGTGTAATTCCACGCCCAAAGAAGGACGACGGAAATGGTGGTTGGATTACTGTTCAAAAGCGAAGAAGCATGAGACAAAGGAACAGCATGGTAATAGCATAATATTGATTGTCAAGGTGATTTGAAAAGCTTTACTCATGGATCTTTAATATTCTAAACGCCTTGCTTCCAAACAAACCTTAACCTTCCCCCAATTCTTCTCGAAATCTTCTCGTAATTAGGTTGATAAAATCTCTCTAGTTTCCAAGGCTATATGCTTCAGTCTCTTATTTATTTTTCTGGTTTATTTATTTAATTTGTCGGGTGGAACAAAGTTTAATATTCTATTTGATTATTATAAAACTTACTACATTTTTTAATTGCATTTTTCCCGGATGCACTATATTATTATGAAAATGAAAAAAAAAAAAAAACATTTATAGAAATTAATTTGTGTATAGTGTAAATATTATATATATGCATTTTTTTTCTTTTCTTTTCTATATATCTTTTAAAATTTTATTTTTTTTTCCAAACTTTCTTCCAAGCTTGTAATGATCAAGTATCACCATAGCAATAGCAAGTAGCATGTATGAAAATAGTTTCGGGAAAAGCAAATGTAATCGAACAATTTTGGTTTAATACATAGTTATTATTATTATTATTTTTGTTTATTTGTTTAAATCAATTCTTCCCTAGCTTTATATTCTAAATTGAAGGTTCAAGAAAAAAAAAAAAAAAAATACGTTTTTAATTCTTTTTACTTTTTTTTTTTTTTTTATTATTATTTGAAAAATCTTTTTTTTAGTATTTTTTTAATAAATAGTGGTAGGCTTAGTCATTAAAA